TCTTCTTCTTCTGGTATCCCTATAATGCAAATATTGTTCTGTTTGGAACAGTATTCTCTTAATGTTCTTTCATTCCTAGAGATCCTTTTATCTCTCTCTGCCTCAGCTTCTCTGTATTCCTGTCCTCTGATTTCTATTCAATTAACAGACTCTTGTCCCTCATCCAGTCTGTTCTTAAATCCTTCTGTTGTTTGTTTCTTTTCTGTTACCTCCCTCTGGAATTCATCCCTTAGCTCTTGCATATTTCTCTAGTTCCATCAGCATGCTTATGACTTTTATTTTGAATTCTTTTTCAGGAAGATTGGTGATTTTGGTCTCACCAGGCCCTCTCTGGTGTTTCAGGGATTTTGGACTGAATAAGGTTCTTCTGCCTTTTCATGGAGATGAAGTCATTGCTGGTGAGTGGCGCCTATGTCAGCTGAGAGAACAAAGTCCCTTCTTGCTTGCTGGTTGCCTTGCCCATCTCTGCTGCCTGTGCCAGTCAACCACACACAGGGAGCAGCCTCTGGGTCAATCCCAAGAGCTGCCATGGGCAGGGCTGCCCTCGGGATGGCCTAGGGCACTGGTGGGGGTTGCAGGTGAGTGCCATTGTGTTCTCCTGTGAGAACTGTGCCCCTTTGTGCTTTCTGGACTTTGCGCCAGTCTCTGCTATCTGTTCTAGGCAACTGCACACAGGGAGCAGCTTCTGGGTTGATCCTGAGCTGCCATGGACAGGGTGGCCCTCGCGATGGCCTAGGGCCCTGGCAGTGGTTGCAGGCGATCAGCATGCGTTTGCCCCAAAAACAGAGCCCCTACATGCTTTCTTGACTCTGTGCCATTTTCCTCTGCCTGTGCTGGTCAAGCGGGTACAGGGGACAGCCTCTGGGTAGATCCCTGAGCTGTTGTGGGCAGGACAGCCCTGGGGATGGCCTTGGGCACTGGCGGGCATTGCAGGTGATCAGCACGTGTTCACCACGAGAACAGAGCCCCTACATGCTTCCTGGACTCTGTGCTGGTTTCCTCTGCCTGTGGCAGTCAGCTGCATGCAGGGGGAGCTCTGGGTTAATCCCCTGAGCTGCTGTGGGTGTGGTGGTCCTCAGGATGGCCTAGGGCACTGGTGGGTGTTACAGGCAAGCAGTGCGTGTTTACTAAGAGAATAAAGCCACTTTGTTCCTTCCAGACTCTGTGCCAGTCTCTGCTGTCTGTGCTGGTCAACTGCAGGCAGGGGGCAGCCTCTCGGTCTGATCCGGTTAGCTGTGTGCTGGGAGAAGCCTCTGTGTGGTTGCTGTGGGTGGGGCTGATCCCTGGCTCCTCTGCAGCAATGGCAGGTCAGTCGGTTTGCATGCAGTGCCGGCAGGGGAGAATGAACAGCAGGTTGCTTATCACTGTGAGGGGCTTCGGAGCTGCATTGCCACCCATGGGGTTAGGGCACCTTAAGTTCCTTAAAGTTCCCAGCCTGCTGGGCTGAGTGTGCAAGGGCGATTTTGTCCACCTGTTAAACCCTTGTTCCTTTAAGACTTTTAAAGTACCCGCTTTTCTTTTGTCCCAGGGCAGCTGGCTGTGGGAACCTGTGGGTCTTAGTCAGAGATTTTTCTTTTCCGTTCCTCTAATATCTAGAGAACCATGCAATGTGTGTCTGTGTTCCCAGTGCAGGTTACTAGGGCTGGTTACTCAGCAGTCCTGTGCTTCCACTCCCTCCCCACTCTGGTTCTTTTCCTCCCACTGGTGAGCTGGGGTCGGGGGAGTGCTTGGGTCCCACTGGGTCGCGGCTTTGTATCTTACCCTTTTCGTGAGATGCTGAGTTCTCACAGATGCAGATGTAGCCTGGCTGTTGTATTATATCTTCTGGTCACGCTTTTAGAAATAGTTGTAGTTGCTGTATTTTCAAAATATATATGGTTTTGGGGGGAGATTTCCACCACCCTACTCACACCGCCATCTTGAGAATCCCCCCATTTCATTCTTGATATTCATGATTTGTGTCTTTTATCTTTTTTAGTCTTCCTAGAGATTCATTTATTGATGTTTTTTCAAAGCACCAGCCTGTTGTCCCACTGACTCTGTGGCTCTTGCTCCCAGGCCCACCGATTCGTGCTGTCTTCCCTATTTCCTTCCTTGCACTTGCGTGCAGTTCCCTTTGCTCTTCTCTGCCTAGGGCTTTGCGGTGGGACTCCGAGGTACCCCACTCTGCCCAGGCAGACAGTAGTGCCGTCCATTTCCCCCTCCCATTGCTTTAGGATTCCACTCATTCTTTATGGATTTTGTTAAAAACTTCTGTTGAGTCTTCCGCTTGACCTGTTGTTTAAATTCTATGGTTTGGAGTTTTTTCTGTTCTCTGTTACTGGCCTCTAGTTTGATTCCATTATGGTCAGTGAAGTCATTTTCTACGATTTCCGTTCTTCTACATTTGTTAAGGCGTGTTTTATGATACAGGATATGGTCTATCTCTGCATGTTCTGTGGACACCTGAAATGATGTGTACTCTGATGCTGCCGTGAATGCTGGGTGAATGTCTGTTGGATGTTGGTCCTCAGGTTCAGTTCTTCCACATCCTTGGTGGTTTCCTGTCAAGCAATTCTCAGTTGCTAGCTTGCGCTGTATTTTTCTTTTACCATCTATCTATGTCATTGTCTCTGGTGAGTTTCTTATATATAGGACACAATTGGACCTTTTCTTTCCAGCCAGTTAGCCAATCTGGGTATTTTAATTGGTATGTTCAGACTATTTACACTGGTGGTAATTACTGACATGTAGTATACATTACTGTGTTTTCTGTTTGTTCCTGTGCTTTTTGTTCCTCTTTCCTTTCTGTGAATTATTTCACGAATTTTTAGAATTGCATCTTGATTTATTATACAAATGTGACTTTAAAGTGAGGCAAAGCAGTTCGCTAAAGTTTAATAGTCAGGAGACGTGGCACAAGGGAGGCAATCAGGACACACATCCAAAAGAAGACGTAGGAATCACTAATGATACCAGCTGGCAAACTGACTTTCTTGAGATAGTTTTTGAAAAGTCTCAATGAGCAGTGAGAATCTTTCAGTATAGCTTAAAATGTTACCAGGCAAGACTTTAACTATTTTACTGCTGTGCTGTGGAATTCTTCTGGTGTGGAGAGATGTTTTAAGTGGCCATATCCTGCCTCCCCCAAAGGGTGACCTTCTCTGACCTTTGACAATCTCCTGTCATATCCTCAGGGGAAAAAGAGCTGGGAGTGCAGCCACCTGAGGGCATCTATTCAGAGACTGCACTGTCAGGACCCTACCCCCAGCTCACTCCAAGACACTGGTCAGTATCGGCCAACTCGGATTCACCTCCAGGCTTCAAGGAAGTCCCACAGAAGCTTCCAAGAATTTAAATGAAGAATGGGAAATGTGAGCAATTCTCTGAAAATGTACCTTTCTCTGTGCAATATATATGAGATTAATGACATTTGAAGGGTATTTACAGAGTACTATAAGCCATTTCTATTATATGTGGGTTTATTAAAATATTATTCCCAAGTTTGATCAACAAAAACATTTATTGAGGGTTTGCCCTATACCATTCTAAGAGCTGCACATACATTAAACAAAGGGTCTTTTGGAAAATAAACTTCCTGGGGTTTACAATGCATGTCTGAGCCTCCTATGGACTACAGGGAGTGTGTGTATCTCTTTCACAACTACTCTGGGGGCTAAGGAGGTCATCCTACATTACCACCCAGGGAGCTGATAACACATGAATCTAAAACCAGTGCTGTTGCTTACTTATTAGACTGTTTTTTCAATAAAGCGTGTATAGCTCTCTGAGGCAAAGGATGATATTCCAGATTTATACTCAACTGGATATCTTGCCTCAATTAAACACTAAAGTCTAAAGATTTTATAACAATAATTTATGGGTATTTTTGGAGCTGGAAAATTGTGATTCTGTCTACTGTAATTGCAATACAGTCAAGTGAAAGACCAATTCCATGCATTTACATTGGATATTTTGGAGAAAACTAACCTTTGACTCGGACATCACTATACCGCTGAAAGTGGTGGTATGCAGCTTTCCAGGGGTTTCGGTAGTGACGGAGCAAAGTAATGGGGGGTCTTGGACGCACTGGGACGTACCTCACACCTTCTTCATCTATTCAAAAGGGAAGAAAAAGACATTAAATAGCTCATTATATATTTTCAAAAATCCTCCAGGTACAATTTTAGTTAAGTGAGCTGTAATTGTAAGTGAAATGTGACTATGTAAGCAGCCTTAAGGATGGACTTCTGACTCAAGTGGGAAAGCCTCACATGACAATCATTAGCTAAGTGACCATTACCGATATACTCCTTGGGAGGAGACTTGCGCTTCTCAGCTTTCACCAGGAGGCTCTTAGCAGCCGACTTCTCATCATCGGTGCTATTCGTCTCCATCATATCTCCTTCTTCAGTTGAAATCACGTGCTGTTGCTTCCGAGGCTTTTTCCTTGGTGAGGCACCAGGCGGTAGGTCACTTGTAGGCATGGACAGGTTGTTAGCCAGCAAAGCAAGAGATGGAGACACAGTGCTGGGAGCCAGTGGAGGAACTGCTGTCGGAGGGAAAAGCACACCATATGTATAAGGACCCAAACCTAATGGAAGGCGTCCCTGATTTCCACCAACGAGAATGGATGAGGAGATAGGAGGAGAGCATTAGTTTTCCTGAGTCTTCCAATGTGCCAGCACCATGTTAAGCACTCTAATTATGGCAGAGGCTGCCAACCGCAGAAGCCGCTAATACCCCACTGAGCAAGTTGTAGTATCCCACAACTCCAGCATCTTGGAGCGAGAACCTTCACTTCTGATGGGCATATTCACACTCAGCTGAAACGCTGTACTTACTAGCCTCCCTTATAGGTAGTATAACCATGTGACCATGTGAAAAGAAAATAGAAGTGTTTTATAGTACTTTTTGGAAGTTTCCTTAAAAGAAAGAAGGTGTGACCTTCTATTCCTCATCTTCTTTCTGTGATCTTGGAGCTCAGATATGATAGGTGGAGTTCCGGCAGCTATCTTGAATCAAGAGCACGAGGGTCAAAATCCTAGGGCAGTAAGAATCTGGATCCCTGATTTTCTGGAGTTCTCAGGGCACCCCTGGACTGATTTTCCTATCTGAGGCTTTTTATACTCCTTGTTCTCTTGGCCTGGAATTCTTTTTTCCCAGATAACCTCATGACCAGCACTTCACTGTTTTAATGTCTCAAAAGATCACTTTCTTAGTGAAATCCTCCCTTTAAAACTTTTCTTAAAATTATCACAGCTCCAGCCCTAACTTTCCCTCATGTCTGTATCCCTACCTTGTTTCCCCACTTGCCTCCCTCGCTAGAATGTAAGCTCACAGGGGGCGGAGCTGGACCTGTCTTGTACAAGGAGGCCCTCAGTGCCTGCTGCAGAGCCCCCCAGCACGAGGCAGGGTACTGTCAGCTTCCCCGGCAGGGAGGTTAGGGGAACCACCCAAAATGAGGGAGCAGGGGAGCTCCACAACTGAGGACATTTTGTTTCCATTCCTGGGTTATCCGTGGTACCTTCAATGGAAGTGCTGAGGCTAAATACGGATGGGTGCCACAGAAGGCGATTTTGCTGCATAGTAGGTGAAAATAAATAAGCAAATAAATCAACAGCAGGTCTAAAAACTGTAGACATAGCCCAGCCACACCTCTTGGTACAAGTAGCGTGGGAGATGGAGGCCTTCACACCGGAATGGATCTCCGTGTAGTACTGGGTAGCTGGAGTGTGAAATGACCTGCTTTCCACTCTGGCTTTGTCTGCATTTCATACATTGCATACTATCAATGATCATTTTGTAGAATTTCAGATTTCTCAATAAATTATTTAAAAAAAAACCCCTAACAAATAAAAAGAAAACCTCTAAAATGGAGGAGTCTGCATACAAGCTAGAAGTTTAGAGTCAGGAGGAGGAGGGACAAGGGGTAATGAATTAGGATTTTACTAATCGCATGTAAGTTTATCCAGAGGATATTTTCAATAACATAAATACTGCTTTACTGAATAAACAGGCAACAAATATTGTCAGGAATAAATTGTAAATGATCAGTAATTGGCTATGATCATATCGTAACCCCTTTCACACGGGAGTATTTTCTTAATGAATACAACAACGAAGCTACATTTAAGTACATTCTCAGGGAAGCAATAATCTTTTTCATGATAAAAGGGCAGCAAAAATGGTTTTGGTTTTCAAATGGAGCTTAATACTGTCTTCCATTTACTAAAAACTAATAAAGTGCACATTTAAAACGGCCATCCCAGAGTCAGGCTCCCTGGCTGCGCAGTGTCTAGGTCCAAGGCCAGGGTGCCAGGAGAGCTGGAACAGAGAACACTCGGCCGCCAGACTCACCAGACACTGGCCGCATGATGTCCATCGGTTCCACTTCCTCTTTAACTTTTATATCAGGGACAGCAGGGCCCAAAACGGAGGAGAGACCGCCACCCACAGCTGCTGGGGGCGGGGGGGCGGCGGCGATGGCAGTGGCGGGCGGGGGGGCGGGCACTGCCCCGGGAACGGCTGAAAGGGCAGCTGCGGGTTGTGAGGGCGGACTAGCTGCCATCACGGCTGGAATGCTCGGCGCAGTCTGCTGGGCTGCGGGTGGTACTGCGATGGTGGGCTGGTCGTTACTCTGATTGGACGCCGTCTCCATGGACACAGTGACTGGAGTGGCCACCGATACGTGGATTTCTGATTTAGGTTTGGCACTGAAACACAAAAGCAAAGAAAATACAGCAAACAGAAAACTGCCTTATCCTGTTAGCATCTCAGAGGACGGGATCTGCCCAATTCTTTCTGTACAACATGCAGCACAGCTGAAACTATTTCTTGATTCTACAAATTGAACTCTAAGATAAGCTTTAAAGGGAATTCAAGTTTCAAAAATATATCCTCCTTGCTCATCACCATGAAGTTTTAAAAATAGCAATAAAATTAACTTGGAAAATAAACATTTGAAGACATCATTCAATGTCATGTCACTGAAATACAACTAATTTTTATTATTTTTTCTCCCAGAATTCCATAATGCATATGTTGTCTCAGGATTTTTTCCCCCACAATTGTACTCATACTTCATATGTAGTTTCTTGTAAACTTATTTCTTATAAAAGAGGAAACTCATGCACGTGGCAAAGATCCAAAAGACCCAAAAGAATACAAAGTGAAAATAATTTCTCTCTACTTCACACACCCAGCCCTCTTCCCACAGGTAGCATGCATAACTTTTCAGTACATCTTACCAGAATACTCCAGGTATCTAAGGTACAAATACAGTGTGTTCAAAAATCTATATCCTATTTTTCAGTTTTATAAGGATTCAGTCACGTCATTATAAATTCTTCTTAGACATTTTTAAGCAAAATATTTTATTGAATAGCCATAAAGGTTTACCTAATTATGTTACTACTGCTGAGAATTCAGGGTATCAGAAGCTATACAAAAAATACTCTTCAAGTTCAAGGCCAAGAACAACTGGACTTCCACAGGCAAAAACATCTGTCATAGGTCAACACAGGTCATCATTGACCTAAACCCCACACCATATACAAAAATGAACTCAAGAGAGGTTATAAATCTAAATGAACAATGTAAAACTATTAAATTTGTATAAGAAAATACAAAAGAAAACCTAGGATTAGGTGAAGAGTTCTTGTCAACATGTTACCAAAAGCACAATCCATAAAAGAAAAAATTGATAAATTGGACTTTATCAAAATTAAAAACTCTCATTTTGCTAAAGACTTACTTCATCAAGAGGTTGAAAAGACAAAGCACAGACTGAAAGAAAGTATCTGTGAAAAACATATCTGACAGGATGAACCTTGAGAACTATGCTAAATGAAATAAGCCAGTCACAAAGACAGTATTGTGTGATTCCACTAATATGAAGTACCTAGAGTAGTTAAGCGCCCTGAAGAAAAAGTGGTTCCCAGGGGCTGGGGGGAGGGAAATCGGGGAGTTGTTGAATAATGGGTATAGAATTGCAGTTTTGTAAAATGAAAAAGAGCTGGAGATTGGTTATACAACAGTGTGAATATGTTTAATACCACTGGAATGTACACTTAGAATTGGTAAAAAACAAACCAAAACACACATGTGATAAAGGACTTATATTCATAATAAATAAAGAACTCTGTGAATTCAAAACTAAGAAAACATATAATCCCATTAGAAAATGGGCAAAAGACATGAATAACAAACAGACACCTCACTAAAGAGAATATTCAGATGGCAAATAGTACATGAAAAGATGTTCAACCTCACATGAGCCATCAGAGACAAGCAGATTAAAGTCCTGATGATATACCACTACACACCTATCAGAATGGGGAAAATACAATTAAAAAAATGTTTTAATACCAAGTGTGGGGTATGTGGAACAACGAGATGTACAAAAAAACTCCTACACTAGTAAATGAAGTTAGCAAGGTTACAGGACAAAAGGGTCTCAGATGTTGCAGGTGGGAATGTACAATGGTACAACCATGCTGGAAAACAGTTTGGAAATTTCTTATAAAATTACAAATATTCATACCATGCAACTCAGCAACTGCTGAGATAAAAGTCTTGGAATTTTTGAAGAACCAAGATGGCGGCGTGAGTAGAGCAGTGGAAATCTCCTCCCAAAACCATATATATTTTTGAAAATACAACAAATAACAACTATTCCTAAAAGAGAGACCAGAAGACA